CCTCTAAATGTTAGAAATCAATAGCTTTAAATAAAGCTCTATGAACAGAGTATCACAGAGTTACATGATACGAGCAGAAGAGAACAGTGTTCTCCCAGGCAAGTAAGAGAAGAGAGCTGTTGCTCGAAGAGGTCCAGCGAAGGGAAGACACATCAAATGAGCTGATGTAGGCAACAGCTCTTAACTTGTAATAAAGTTGGTAGAATTACAGACAATATGTAAAGTAAAAGGACACAAGTGCAACTAATGTGACATTTTATTGTGGCAACGTTTCGCTCTCCAGGAGCTTTATCAAGCCATTACAAACAATACATGGACACAGAGGGTAATATAAAGGCTCGAGAGAGGAGCAATACTAGTGAGGTAACATTTTCGATGTTCACTAGTGGTGGTAGTAGTAGTAGTAGTAGTAGTGACAAAAGTTATAGTAGTAATACAATATGGAAGAGCAATTAATTCGTACATGAGTAAAAGGATATAAAAGCTATTACATGGGTAACATTAAAAATAGGTTGGACAAATATAGACTGGAAAGAGGCAGGTTGTTTCAGTGTTCATCTCTTGTAATGTGCTTTGTGTAGTATAAAAGGAGAGACTATGTGATGGCAGGGTTTGCTGTTTTCAGGAGGATTCTTGCTAAGACATCAGAGATGGTGAAGCTGCCGTTGTTTTGTTTAATTGTATTCGAAACAGCGATCAGTGCTGATTCGAGGCACTTGTGTCTGCGGAAATTAGTTTCTTTGATCACTAATTGGGCGTCTCTGAATTTCATGAGACGATTGGTGGAATTTCGGTGTTGTACACAGGCGTTGTTCAAGTTATCGTTCCTACATGCGTAAATGTGTTCATTGAGGCGGGTGTCGAGGTTTTCTTGCTGTTTCACCTACGTAAATCTTGTCACAGCCTCCACAGAGTATAGTGTAAAATTCCTGCGTTGACTGGTTCGTGGTGCTGGATTTTGTTCTGGTTAGATCAGTGCAGGAGTTTACACTATACCCTGTGGAGGCTGTGCCCAAGATTTACTTAGGTGAAACAGCAAGAAACCTCGACACCCGCCCCCAATGAACACATTTACGCATGTAGGAACGATAACTTGAACAACGCCGTTACTGTTAGGTTGTGGCAACACACAGTCTTACTTCCAGGTTGTCGGCAACACACAGTCGTAAATAGCCAGGTTGTGGCAACACACGTCGTACTGGCCAGGTTGTGGCAACACACAGTGTACTGGCCAGGTTGTGGCAACACACAGTCGTACTGGCCAGGTTGTGGCAACACACAGTCGTACTGGTCAGGTTGTGGCAACACACAGTCGTACTGGCCAGGTTGTGGCAACACACAGTCGTACTAGCCAGGTTGTGGCAACACACGTCGTATGGCCAGGTTGTGGCAACACACAGTCGTACTGGCCAGGTTGTGACAACACACAGTCGTACTGGCCAGGTTGTGGCAACAAACAGTCGTACTGGGCAGGTTGTGGCAACACACAGTCGTACTGGCCAGGTTGTGGCAAACACAGTCGTACTGGCCAGGTTGTGGCAACACACAGTCGTACTGGCCAGGTTGTGGGCACACACAGTCGTACTGGCCAGGTTGTGGCAACACACAGTCGTACTGGCCAGGTTGTGGCAACACACAGTCGTACTGGCCAGGTTGTGGCAACACACAGTCGAAACTGGCCAGGTTGTGGCAACACACAGTCGTTACTGGGCAGGTTGTGGCAACACACAGTCGTATGGCCAGGTTGTGGCAAACACAGTCGTACTGGCCATTGTGGCAACAATAGTCCGTACTGGCCAGGTTGTGGCAACATACAGTCGTACTGGCCAGGTTGTGGCAACACACAGTCGTACTGGCCAGGTTGTGGCAACACACAGTCGTACTGGCCAGGTTGTGGCAACTACAGTGTACGGGCCCAGGTTGTGGCAACACACAGTCGTACTGGCCAGGTCGTGGCAGCCACCGCCAAAATTCTTATTGTCAACAGATCGAATCATCCAAGTCGAGTGTTTTTTTTTTTCATCACGGAAGTTTTTATTTTTGTCTGTTGTGGTGAATGTTTTTTAAGTCTTTAAATAAAGAGGTGAGAGAATTTGTAAGTATGAGAATTGAGAAAGTTATTTAATAATTAATTCTACTTAAACAAAGTGTTTATTCTTCTGAATATCTTCTTTATTTTAAACCCCACAAGTCTCTCAAGTTAGTAATTTCTTCACATATTTACATCTTTTACCACATTATTTCATCAAAAAATTATACCCTTATTGCACTTTCTTAGAGAAAATTTAAATGATATAAACAAAAATTATCTAAATTCTCATACAAAATTTATACAATTTTAAATTTTTAAATTTAAAAACAATGGTGAGGGAGAGTGTAGATATGTCTATGATAACGTGTACATATGTATGTATATATGTGTGTTGGTAGTAGTGTGTTTGTAGTGATGTATGTGTGTACACATGTATGTATATATGTGTGATAGTAGTAGTGTTTTTTGTAGTGATGTATATGTGTACACATGTATGTATATATGTGTGTTGGTAGTAGTGTGTTTGTAGTGATGTGTGTGTGTACACATGTATGTATATATGTGTGTTGGTAGTAGTGTGTTTGTAGTGATGTATATGTGTACCATGTATGTATACATGTGTTTTAGTAGTGTGTTTGTAGTGATGTATGTGTGTACACATGTATGTATACATTTTGTGTTGGTAGTAGTGTGTTTGTAGTGATGTATGTGTGTACACATGTATGTATACATGTGTGTTGGTAGTAGTGTGTTTGTAGTGATGTATATGTGTACACATGTATGTATATATATGTGTTGGTAGTAGTGTGTTTGTAGTGATGTATGTGTGTACACATGTATGTATACATGTGTGTTGGTAGTAGTGTGTTTGGTTTGTGATGCATGTGTGTACACATGTATGTATTTATGTGTGTTGGTAGTAGTGTGTTTGTAGTGATGTATGTGTGTACACATGCATGTATACATGTGTGTTGGTAGTAGTGTGTTTGTAGTGATGTGTATGTGTACACATGTATGTGTATGTGTGTGTTAGTAGTAGTGTGTTTGTAGCGATGTGTGTGTGTACACATGTATGTAAATATGTGTGTTGGCAGTAGTGTGTTTGTAGTGATGTGTATGTGTACACATGTATGTAAATATGTGTGTTGGCAGTAGTGTGTTTGTAGTGATGTATATGTGTACACATGTATGTATATATGTGTGGTTGTAGTGATGTATATTTGTACACATGTATGTATATATGTGTATATATGTATATATGTATATATACAAACATTTGCGACCTTCAAATTCATTTATGAAACACGAAAAACGGAAGTTTTTTTAAATTCGTTGCAATTTTCATGGAGGAGATTTAGAGATTCTCACTTTCACTCATACATACACAATAACATGTACACGCGATATTCATACATGTTATAAGCATTCATACATAATAACATAGTACACAAGACTATCAAACACGCAAGATGTACACATGACAATCATCAACACACAACATGTATACATGACAATCATCAATATACAACATGTACACCTGACAATCAACACACAAACATGTACACATGGTACACATACACAATAACACGTGTATTAATGTATACATAATGCACGTACACAAGACAATCATCAACTCACAACATGTACACATGGCCCCCAATACACAATACGTGTATTTAATGTTGTACATAACATGTACACAAGATAATCATCAACACACAACTGTACACATGACAATCATCAACACACATGTACTTTATGGCACACACACACAAAATTTGCACTGTATTAATGTGTACATAAAACGTACACAGGGTCGATCAACATATATCATGTACCCATGATAATCATCAACTTACAACATGTACACATGACAATCATCAAACACAACATGTACACATGACAATCATCAACAAAAAACCCATGTAACATGACAATTCAACACAACATGTACACATGACAATCATCAACACACAACATATACATATGATAATCATCAAACACACTTGTACACTGACAATCTCAACACATATGTACACATGGCACACATATACAACACGTGTATTTAATGTGTACATAATAACATGTGCACATGACACACAGTCCCTCCACTAGCGCCTCAGTCGTGTCACATTTTTAAAATTTCACAAGTTACACAAAAAATGTTCTCAAATTACTGTAAATCAACTTTTTTTTTGTCTTATATTCTGAATATTGAAGCAAATACTCATATCTAAATTTTCCCTTTATATTGTCTCTGCTACATTGTTTAATCATGGGGACGAGTACATGTATGTCTATGAGAATGTGTAACATGTATGTGTACATAAGTGTTCGTGGGGATGGTCTTTGGAGTGATATGTTTGTGTGCATGTATGTGGATCTCAGACATATTATAGTGATAGGAGATAACTGTGTACATTTTTGTGTGCGTTTTTGCAGTTACATGGGATTGTGTGTGATTTTTTATGTATGCAAGTGTATGTATAATGATGTATGAGTAAGGTGAATGTTTTTTAAACGTATAAATATTTGGGGGAAAATACTTATATATGTGTATGCAAACAATTTCTGCGCTTGTTTAGGCTTCAGTGCCAAATTTAAAAGACGGATAAATAAACAAAAATGAAAGCATGTAATATTTAACATATTATGATGGTGGTGGACAAATTAACCAACATTTGGGTATTCATCTGCAATAATAAACACTCTCAAATACTTTTAAACACCCTAAATAAGTAAAAAAAAAAAATTTGTTCTCAGTATATTTTCATAGTGTAACATAAAAGGATTTCCAAAAAATTATGTTAATTAGCCTCTCGGGGTGGCCGGAACTGTGAGGCAGCTTGGTGGCGTCTAGTGACCTACGGTCGCGGCTGTCTTGATGGGTGTAATTACTGGACGCAGTTTTCTGTGTGTGTCACCTCCAGTAATTCCACCCACCTGGACAGTCTCTACCGTAGGGCCAGCTAGACAAGACCAAGTTTCCATGCAGCGAGGTCACTGAAGGTGGCAACCGCTGACTCTGGGGAAGTGGGGAAGGGAGTCCATCTGAGGTGACACTAGTGGACTCCTGGAGACACTGATCCGGGGAAGGCACTGCTGACTCTGGGGAAGTGGGGAAGGGAGTCCACTCAGGTGACACAAGTGGACTCCTGGAGACACTGATCCGGGGAAGGCACCGCCGACCTTAGGGAAATGAGGAAGGGAAGACATCCGGAGCGAGCGGATGGATTCCTGGATACATGAACTTGAGGAAGGTTGTTGTTGAGGCTGACCTTGGGTAAGTGGGGAGGGGAGACATCCGGAGCGAGCGGATGGATTCCTGGATACATGAACCTGAGCAAGGCAAGAATACATGCAGTTGAGGCTGACCTTGGGTAAGTGGGGAAGGGAAGATATCCGGCGGTAGACGGAAGGATTCCTGGATACATGAACCTGAGCAAGGCAAGAATACATGCAGTTGAGGCTGACCTTGGGTAAGTGGGGAAGGGAAGATATCCGGCGGTAGACGGAAGGATTCCTGGATACATGATCCTGGGAATGGCAAGAATACCGCTGACCTTGGGGAAGTGGGAAAGGGAGTCCACTCAGGTGACATAAGTGGACTCCTGGAGACACTGATCCGGGGAAGGCACCGCCGACCTTAGGGAAATGGGGAAGGGAAGACATCCGGAGCGAGCGGATGGATTCCTGGATACATGAACTTGAGGAAGGTTGTTGTTGAGGCTGACCTTGGGTAAGTGGGGAAGGGAGACATCCGGAGCGAGCGGATGGATTCCTGGATACATGAACCTGAGCAAGGCAAGAATACGTGCAGTTGAGGCTGACCTTGCGTAAGTGGGGAAGGGAAGATATCCGGCGGTAGACGGAAGAATTCCTGGATACATGATCCTGCGGACGGCAAGAATACCGCTGACCTTGGGGAAGTGGGGAAGGGAGTTCACCTGAGGTGACATAAGTGGATTCCTGGAGACACTGATCCGGGGAAGGCACCGCCGACCTTAGGGAAATGGGGAAGGGAAGACACCCGGGAGCGAACAGATGGATTCCTGGACACATGAACTTGGGGAAGGTTGTCGTTGAGGCTGACCTTGGGTAAGTGGGGAAGGGGAGACATCCGGAGCGAACGGATGGATTCCTGGATACATGAACCTGGGGATGGCAAGAATACATGCAGTTGAGGCTGACCTTGGGTAAGTGGGGAAGGGGAGACATCTGGGAGCGAACGGATGGATCCCTGGATACTGAACCTTTTGGGAAGGCAAGAATACATGCAGTTGAGGCTGACCTTGGGTAAGTGGGGAAGGGAAGATATCCGGCGGTAGACGGAAGGATTCCTGGATACATGAACCTGGGGACAGCAAGGGAAAAAAGGTTGGTGAGGCGAACCTTAGGGAAGCGAGGAAGGGAAAACATCCGGAGGCAGACAGATGGATTCCTGGATACCCTGAACCTGGGGGAAAGGCTGAGGCTGGAAGGCAGAGAGAGAAAGAGAGGCGAGGCTGACCTTAGGGAAATAAGGAAGGGGAGACATCCGGGGGCCCACGGATGAATTCCTGGACACATGAACCTGGGGAAGGCGAGGGGGGGGGGACCTTAAAGACGAACCACTGGCCTCCACGTGGCAAGGTCTGGTAACTCAGAGATAACTCTGAGGCTGACAGTGGTCGCAAATATATTATAATTCATTATAATATATTATTATTATTATTATTATTATTATTATTATTATTATTATTATTATTATTATTATTATTATTATTATTATTATAGTATTATTATAATATTATTATTATGTTATTATTATTAATTATTATTGTTATTATTCATGATTTGGATTCAAAAGCGTCAACCAGCCTCCCTGACAGTAGCATCGGTGGTGTTATTCCCACTCCAGCCTCCCTGACAGTAGCATCGGTGATGTTATTCCCACTCCAGCCTCCCTGACAGTAGCATTGGTGGTGTTATTCCCACTCCAGCCTCCATGACAGTAGCATCGGTGGTGTTATTCCCACTCCAGCCTCCCTGACAGTAGCATCGGTGGTGTTATTCCCACTCCAGCCTCCCTGACAGTAGCATCGGTGGTGTTATTCCCACTCCAGCCTCCCTGACAGTAGCATCGGTGATGTTATTCCCCCTCCAGCCTCCCTGACAGTAGCATTGGTGGTGTTATTCCCACTCCAGCCTCCCTGACAGTAGCATCGGTGGTGTTATTCCCACTCCAGCCTCCCTGACAGTAGCATCGGTGGTGTTATTCCCACTCCAGCCTCCCTGACAGTAGCATTGGTGGTGTTATTTTCACTCCAGCCTCCCTGACAGTAGCATCGGTGGTATTATTCCCACTCCAGCCTCCCTGACAGTAGCATCGGTGGTGTTATTCCCACTCCAGCCTCCCTGACAGTAGCATCGGTGGTGTTATTCCCACTCCAGCCTCCCTGACAGTAGCATTGGTGGTGTTATTCCCACTCCAGCCTCCCTGACAGTAGCATTGGTGGTGTTATTCCCACTCCAGCCTCCCTGACAGTAGCATTGGTGGTGTTATTCCCACTCAGCCTCCCTGACAGTAGCATTGGTGGTGTTATTCCCACTCCAGCCTCCCTGACAGTAGCATCGGTGGTGTTATTCCCACTCCAGCCTCCCTGACAGTAGCATTGGTGGTGTTATTCCCACTCCAGTCTCCCTGACAGTAGCATTGGTGGTGTTATTCCCACTCCAGCCTCCCTGACAGTAGCATTGGTGGTGTTATTCCCACTCCAGCCTCCCTGGGCAGTAGCATCGGTGGTGTTATTCCCACTCCAGCCTCCCTGACAGTAGCATTGGTGGTTTTATTCCCACTCCAGCCTCCCTGACAGTAGCATCGGTGGTGTTATTCCCACTCCAACCTCCCTGACAGTAGCATTGGTGGTGTTATTCCCACTCCAGCCTCCCTGACAGTAGCATCGGTGGTGTTATTCCCACTCCAGCCTCCTGACAGTTGCCCTTCAGTGGTGTTATTCCCACTCCAGCCTCACTGACAGTAGCATCGGTGGCGTTTTTCCCACTCCAGCCTCACTGACAGTAGCATCGGTGGTGTTATTCCCACTCCAGCCTCCCTGACAGCAACCATTGTGGTGTTAATCCCACTCCAGCCCCCCTGACAGTAGCCATGGTGGTGTTATTCCCACTCCAGCCTCCCTGACAGTAGCATCGGTGGTGTTATTCCCACTCCAGCCTCCCTGACAGTAGCCATGGTGGGTTTTTATTCCCACTCCAGCCTCCCCGACAGTAGCCATGGTGGTGTTTATTCCCACTCCAGCCCCTGACAGTAGCATCGGTTGGTGTTATTCCACTCCAGCTCCCTAACAGTAGCATCGGTGGTGTTATTCCCACTCCAGCCTCCCCGGGCAGTAGCCATGGTGGTGTTTTCCCCACTCCCGCCTCCCTGACAGTAGCCATGGTGGTGTTATTCCCACTCCAGCCTTCCTGACAGTAGCATCGGTAGTGTTATTCCCACTCCAGCCTCCCTGACAGTAGCCATGGTGGTGTTATTCCCACTCCAGCCTCCCTGACAGTAGCCATGGTGGTGTTATTCCCACTCCAGCCTTCCTGACAGTAGCATCGGTGGTGTTATTCCCACTCCAGCCTCCCTGACAGTAACCATGGTGGTGTTATTCCCACTCCATCCTCCCTGACAGTAACCATTGTGGTGTTATTCCCACTCCATCCTCCCTGAGTAACCCTTGTGGTGTTTTCCCAACTCCATCCTCCCTGACAGTAACCATGGTGGTGTTATTCCCACTCCATCCTCCCTGACAGTAACCATTGTGGTGTTATTCCCACTCCAGCCTCCCTGGGCAGTAACCATGGTGGGGTTATTTTCCCCCTCCAGCCTCCCCGACAGTAACCTGATGGTGTTATTCCCACTCCAGCCTCCCTGACAGTAACCATGGTGGGGTTATTCCCACTCCAGCCTCCCTGACAGTAGCCATGGTGGTGTTATTCCCACTCCAGCCTCCCTGACAGTAGCATCGGTGGTGTTATTCCCACTCAGCCTCCCTGACAGTAACCATGGTTTGGGGTTATTCCCACCCCATCCTCCCTGACAGTAACCATTGTGGTGTTATTCCCACTCCATTTCCCCCCTGACAGTAACCATTTTTGGTGTTATTCCCACTCCATCCTCCCTGACAGTAACCATGGTGGTGTTATTCCCACTCCATCCCCCCTGACGTAACCATTGTGGTGTTATTCACTCCAGCCCCCTGACAGTAACCATGGTGGTGTATTCCCACTCCAGCCTCCCTGACGTAACCATGATGGTGTTATTTCCCACTCCAGCCCTCCTGACAGTAACCATGGTGGGGTTTTTCCCATCCAGCCTCCCTGACAGTAACCATTGTGGTGTTATTCCCACTCCAGCTCCCTGACAGTAACCATGGTGGTGTTATTCCCACTCCAGCCTCCCTGACATTAAAACCCTGATGGTGTTATTCCCACTCCAGCCTCCCTGACAGTAACCATGGTGGGGTTTTTTCCCACTCCAGCCTCCCTGACAGTAACCATGGGGGTGTTATTCCCCCTCCAGCCTCCCTGGCAGTAACCATGGTGGGGTTTTCCACTCGGAATAACACGTCAGTGGCATCTCGTGGTGCCCCCACCCCGTTATCATAAAAATTTAAAAAATCCCAAAAAGGAAATCTTTCTCATCATTCAACACTTTCACCTCACTCACACATAATCACTGTCTTGCAGAGGTGCTCAGACACAACAGTTTAGAACATATATGAAGTAATAAATTTGATACTCTTCCAAAATGCCAAATCCAATATTTCCAATGGGTTGAAACGCTTGTTAACAAACCTCATGTAAAATTGAGTCATTTCTTATATTTCTCTGTGCGTTTAAAGATATATTGTTTTCATTAATGTTAATGTAAAAACTAATAACTTTGTTCTAAAGAACCTTAGAAAACTTACTAAACCTTTAATTAATTAAATTTGATTTAGCCTATTTAACTAAAATGTTTTTAGATAAGTTTACAATAATTTAATAATAAAGAAACCATGAAAACATTTTTTTCCGTTTGGTTCAAGAATGAATTTTGTCGAAATTTTGCAACCAAACTTTCATTGTGTATGTTAGTATGTGTTATTGAGAAGTTTCTGTTACTTTTTTTTGTTACTTTACAACCCAGGGTCCAAAGTCCTGTTAAACTGTGTGTAAAGGCAGCGAAATAAACACAACAGAAAAGCTTTTGTTTGCATTATCCTTCACCCAATTTAGAACAGGTTGTGACAAACACACAGTGTACTGGGCCCGTTGTGACAACCCAAGCCACATGGCCGGGTTGTGGGCTACACACGTCTTTTCTGGCCAGGTTGTGACTAACACCGTCGTATGGCCAGGTGTGACAACACAGTCGTACTGGAGGGTTTTGACAACACACAGTCGTACTGGCAGGTTTGACTACACACAGTCGTACGGGCAGGTTGTGACAACCACAGTCGTATGGCCAGGTTTTGACTACACACAGTCGTAATGGCAGGTTGTGACAACACCACGTCGTACTGGCCAGGTTTGTAACAACACACAGTCGTACTGGACAGGTTGTTGACAACACACAGTCGCACTGGCCAGGTTGTGGCAACACACAGTCGTACTGGCCAGGTTGTGACTACACACAGTCGTACTGCTGTGACAACACACGTCGTACTGGCCAGGTTGTGACACACACAGTCGTACTGGCCAGGTTGTGGGCACACACAGTCGTACTGGCCAGGTTTTTAACAACCACAGTCGTACTGGCCAGGTTGTGACAACACACAGTCGTACTGGCCAGGTTGTGACAACACACAGTCGCACTGGCCAGGTTGTGGCAACACGCATTCGTACTGGCAAGCTTGTGACAACACACAGTCGTACTGGCAAGGTGGTAGCAACACACAGTCGTACTGGCCAGGTTGTAGCAACATACAGTCGTACTGGCCAGGTTGTGACAACACACCCGTTGTACTGGCAAGGTTGTGACAACACAGAGTCGTACTGGCAAGGTTGTGACAACACATAGTCGTACTGGCCAGGTTGTGGCAATACACAGTCATACTGGCCAGGTTGTGGCAACACACAGTCGTACTTGCCAGGTTGTGACAACACACAGTTGTACTGGCCAGGTTGTGACAACACACAGTCGTACTGGCTAGGTTGTGAAAACACACAGTCGTACTGGCCAGGTTGTGACAACA